ACTCTGCTATAGTAATGAATGTGCTGGAATGAGAAAAGATTTTTGGAATCTCTTTACATCAAACATCAACCATACCAATTTATGTTTTGGAATTTTAATATCAAATATGATATTTATAGATCCACTATCCTCAGCAGATGCAGATGGAAAGAGAAATTTAGCAACTGAATCAACAGATCCTGGTTTAGTCGCCGGCATCGTAATAGGCGTAGTGACCTTAGGACTGTTATTACTCGCACTGGTTGCAGTACTGTGCTACAGGCATTATCTTCATCGTAATGTTACTAGCATGAACTTCGATAATCCCGTCTACAGAAAGACTACTGAAGATCAATTTAGTCTTGAGAAAAATAGATTCCCGCTTCCTGCAGCTACAGTTGGAGAGGAGGTAAAAATAATCATTAACTATAATTATTTTAAATTAATTTTTACTTAAAAGATTTTAACAGATAATTTTTATGGATTATGGGAAAAATTATAAATATATTTTTGACGGATAAAATAAAATTTCAGAATATTTTTTTATGTGAAAAGTTTTACCATATTATTTGTTTCAGGCTCAAGAACCATTGACAAGTCCTGGAACAAATGATTATGTTTAAGGCTCAGTCTGTCAATATAAAGGGTTTAAACAGGCTACTGAAGTACTATATCGACCAAGTGATAAAACCATGTAAAGAAAGATGAGGTATTTGCGTTGAAAGAGCCTGTCCAAACGCATCATGCCTGCGCTCGCTCGCAAGCCTGCCAACCAACTGTGATTATGTTAATTTCTTTTGTATCTATTTCTTTACAAACTTTAGCACTTTGTCACTCAAATATATGTATATTATGCGCGCAACATTTAGATTTGCTCTAGGACGTAAAGGGAGAAATATCTCAAGAAACTTGCCAAATAACCGATCTTATCTTCATGTAGCCAAATAGTTTGCTAAGGTCTTAAGATTCCTACTTAACAGTTTTCCTATTAAGTAACATAATTTGTAATATAATACTTTTTAGATCGATTTAGCATGGCCTGGCGCATGTGGCGTATGATTTTACATACGCTATGTATATTAAGAATATTAACTTGTTATTGTTTAATTATTTATTCAGAGATATGCAATGGACATTTTTTGGGTAGAATTTCTGCGTAAGATATTACTTTTTTTAGTAATAATATCTTGCACAAGTCATATGTAAATAATGCGAAAAATCTCAATCGTGTATTATTAAAATTATTTAAAATTATTTAAATTATTACGTGGGTTAAAATGCAATATGAAAGTTATAACAATTAAATGCATGCTGTGAAACAAATTATCATCCGACTAAAACGGAATAAGAGGCTATAACTATTATTTTCTTTCATCTTGAGTTATTGTAATTCTCTTTTGTTATATAAGAAATAAAAATCATTTTTTATAAAAGGCACATTCAGTATGTGTATATATATATCTATATATCTAATCATGTTTTTTTATTATTAAAGGAAAGTTCCCTATTATGAGATAAGTTTTTAATATGCGATAGTGGGGTTTCTGCTAAACTAATAGCTCATTTTTTACATTTTTTTTTTAATTTTCAGAAAAATTAATATTTAAATTAGATTTTACATTTCAGCACCTTAAAGCTTATTAAATTTCCTTCAAAATGACCTACTATATTTTTCAATTCTGCTCACTCCGATAATCACACAAAATAGATATGTGGTATCTCATAATAGGGGACTTTTCTCTATATGTATATTGTAGTCTTCTCTGTAATTTAGATTTAAGAGTATATTTATACATAATCCGCTCCATGTTAATTATTCAAAAACAAAGTTGAAAATCGCGAATGATAGAAAAAATATATGCTCAGAAGAAATTTCTCCTTTTATGTCTGCGTAATGCGTACAATGCCATGGACATATGTGACATATGCATAGACATATGTAAGGACTTTCCAGCAACTATCTGTATATTGATGGGTGGTCCATATCACGAAGAAATCGCTCCATTTACAAATATTATCGTTTATGTAGTAAAACGGAAAGAGCATTGTTGTAACGACTTGAGCTCAATGACAGTAAGTGTGACTGTGCGTTTGTTAAAAGGGAACTGTTGTCAAGTACTTCAATCTACTAAAGAAATCAGTGTATTTGTATAGAATTATTGCGTCGGGCTTAAGAGTTTTATTTACTTCGTAAATATCAATATGTATGTGTATATATGTATGTAAAAAGTGTAGCAAAAATTGAGTATGAAAGCGCTGCAACGGAAAGCTGGCGAAAAATTAAGCTATGGAAATTTACGTAGCTTTTATTATTCTGAAATTCCTATATACATATATACACATATATATAATATAATATTACTATAATAAAAATGATTAAATGTGAAAAAACATTTTATGAGATAAGATTATTAACAAATATAATATTAGATTGGTGAAAAGGACTATGTACAGTTGACAGATAGCGGATTGTTCTCACAAAAAAAAATTGTGCCAACAGTTTCATGCTTTTGCTGAAACAAATTGATTTACAAGTCAATAATTTATATACATTTTATCTGGTCTTGTTTCTGTGGGACCAAGGAATTTTGTACAGGAGATATAAATAATATTTCTAGCTTTCATCATAAAGATAATCTATATAACATTAAACAATTGTGCCAAATATGGAAAAAAAAGCTGAAATCGAAAATTATGCATTTTACATTTTTTTGTAAGAAAATTTACGTATATTTACAACTCGACAATTTAACTTCTATATTGATTAATGAATATCTTTCTACATGGTACCAAGCCAAATTCTATCGATTCCTCCTATCTACGACCAGCTGTCTGTTAACAGGAACATGGTGTAATTGTAAGTGCAAGAAGCAAAGTCCAAAATTAAGATATAGAGGCTTGGTGGTAATTTTAATCAAAAAATAGGAGTGTGTGTATGGTGAGAGTTGCAATTAACTGTGTAAATCGTCAAGATATAACGTCCTAGCCAATTTATCCGCCAAAATCGTGTCAAACATTATTTCTATGCGACGTATGTACATGTATTACATATATGTACAATGAGATTTTAAAATAGATCATCAAATTTTGTAGTTATATTCTTTCGGTCAGTTTAAAATCGAAAAATAATCGACGCGCAATTTACTAAGTTGAAAAAAGTATATAAAATCCACACCGAAATATCATTATTAAGCTACTACCAAGATCCAGCTCGACCGAAAATGGCATTTTTGTTAACTGTAAGATTCATATTGGTCCTATTTTACTTATTGAAGAAGAAAAGTAATTCCATATTTATTAAAACATGTGTACAACATTTGATAATTTATTTTAGAATCATTCTATGCATATACAAAGTGAATTAATGCTTGTATCTGAAATATTTTTGTTATTTTTCATGATATACGAAAACTTTTAAGGATAAATCGTGTGATATAAGAAAGAATGTACTCATACACAGATCTATAGTATAATTATAATTATAATAATTATAAGTGAAGATGTTAAGAGATATGAAAATAATCGACATTTCTTTACGCGAAACTGTATAAATTTTCATGCATAAATTAATTTTTTTCATTATTTGGCGTACAAAATGTCTCAACTGATATAAGAAAGAAAGATATAGATACATTTGAAACAAAGATTGTATTACAAGCAATTTAATCTGAGCAAAAATGGCACTTTTTATCGATTAATGAGATATGATCTTATTATACAATAATCGAATACTTCGAACTAAAATATGACATGCTGCATGCGTGTGTTTGATTTTTCATTTTCGTTTGATTTTACCACAATATTTTTATAAGCAGAATGATAAGAAAAGCCTACATAAAAAAGATTGGCTCCACGTTCAAAACATTAAAGTAATTTTCATATACTGTATATATCTTACATCTTGAGAATTCTCATATTTCTTGAAGACAACAAAATTGTTTTAGATGCAAACGTTTAGAAATGATGAATTACTTTGTGAGCATACGAGGTACACACTTGCGCGTAACGTAAATATACTTTAAAAGAAATATATATATATATATATATATATATATATATATATACACACACACACACACACACACACATATAATTTATTATAATGATTGTATAAATAAAGTATACAACTAAATTGCAGTAACGCCACGTTATTATCATACCTATGGAAGATTGTGAAATGTAAAATTTGTAAATACGCCTATTTGAAAATATAAATAGTGAATCATTTCTCTACTGAGTTGTGAATTTTCCCAAGTTTTTAAAAGAGAAATATAGTAACAAGCAGTGCTGAAACATTACTATATATAATAGTTTTAATTAATTAGATAAGAGAATCTCTAAAGATACCAATTCAAATAGTTTATGAATTTCAAGGGATCTCTGTCTCTTAACATTTTTTATTCAGATATATACATATAATCAACCGGTTGAAATTCTACTTACTTCTGCTTACGGCCAACATTGATTCTTACCTCTACAGTTACAGACGGCCGAAGCGAGCAACGCGATTAGTCAAAACCTTACTGTTACGTTCTACGGAAAAGTGTGTGTGCCCTGTTTAAAGACGCGCGCGCCGAGTACGATACGATTTTCCGATTGGTCCGTGCCAGTGGGGGGCCCCAGTGTCCACGAATACGAAATCGTAGCAGCTCGCTCATGGTGGAAGGTGGAAGGTGGAAGGTCTGGTGGAAGTGTCCCTCGCTCCTGAGTCCTGCCTGCTGTGTTGCGTAGTAGGTAAGGTCGTACGGTCGTGTTCGGAAGGTGAACGCGTGTTGAAAGGGCTCGTCCGAGGAAACGGCATGATGATCAGCGGTACCGGTTCACCCTTTTACGTGTGGCGCACGGCCGTGATCGTGACTGGTGAACGTAGAACTAAGTGTATCAGCAGTGACGATGCGTTGTGATCTTAGTTGTCGTTGTACGAATAAGTCGAGGCCGTCGTCGTCGTCGTCGTCGTCGCAGCAGCAGCCGCCGCCGCCGCCGCCGCTGTCACCGCCGTCGTCGTCGTCGTCGCCGTCGCCGTTGACGTCGCCGACGTCGTCGCCGTCGCCGTCATCGGTCGCGCGTTGTCGTCGTTACTCACCTCGGTATTTGGCACCGGCATCCCGACACCGTCCGTCGTGGAATGGCAGCGGCCCTAAAGAAAAATCACTCACGCAGAAGATTGGCCGCCCTCACATTCCTGTCCAACATCTCTCTCGACGGCAGTCACCGGGACACCAGGTTCGCCGTCCTGTCACGCAGCGGGCCGGTTCACGCGCGCAGGCACAGCGATGGCCAGTCGTCGTCGTCGGAGCAGCATCATCAGCAGCAGCAGCAGCAGGCGGTGCTGGAGGCCGTGTGCCGGAGCGCCGACTTCGAGGCCTCCGTGGAGCTGGATCCGCCCGTAGACGTCTGCCCCCAGGTGCCGGAGACGTCGCACGACTTGCCGCAGAGTGAGACGACGATTGAGCAGAACAACTCGCCGCAGCCGGCGCAGAAGAGCGCAACCGATCACAACTCCTTCAGTTCCGATTCGGACGGACTGCTCACCCCCGCCAAGGCAGCGGTTACCATGTTCTTGGAGCAGGAGAGAAGTCACTTGCAGTTTTCTTGCGGCATGCACAGTTCGTTCAGAGAACGGTAAATGACCTTCGCTCCGCTCCCTCCGCCCTCGTCAACCCTGGTCGTTTATGTTTCATTTGCCATGCCATGTTTCATTAGCGTCAATAGCATCAGTCCGGGTCTGTTTTCTATTGCTGAACCGGCTGCGCTAGTTCAGAGTTTATCTTTTGCCTTCCAGTGTGGAGTAAGAAAGATAAACTCTGAACTAGCGCTGCTAGCTGGTTAGAAAACAGACCCAGACCCTATGTCAAAATATTCGAGCGACGTGATCTGTTAGTATGACGTAACACAGGTAACGTTTTGCTCCGAATTATTAACAGCTGAACGCAAAGTCGACAAAGTTTAACACGTAAACTACATTGAGTGTTCTGTTATCTATATGAATTGAGATTTTTCTCTTATCTTGAGTAACATGTGAAAACTAATTTTCTTTAGAATTTCTTTTCCTCCAAACGAGATATCGCTTATCACGAGTAAATTAATAATATATTTTTTATCTTATCTTTTAAGTCTTTGTTTCCGAAATAGGTCGCGATAATTCATGATAATAGAGCTGATTGAACGTTAAAAGTAAACAGTTACATGTATGTATATATTATTTAAAAAATTTGTAATATGAACATTTTTAGTGTAGAGAGATGATTTTGAATTAAGAATGTATATTCTGTAATAAAATAATTTATTAACTGGCAGCAAGGGAGGAACAGGCGGCCACAGGCTATATCTTTCGAAATGTTTCAAATATGTTCTAAATTATGCGTATCAAATTCTTTAAACATCCTTTTGATAAGAGAAATCCCAGAGTAATTAAACACGTATGAAAATCTCTGCGCTATAATGTTCCATCTCAGACTGTCTTGGTACAGATAGGATTGAATGACACTTAATGGATTCAGATAACATTATCAAAAGCGTCTACAGTATCACAAACAAAAACATCGTGAAACTTGATTGCATTCCGTCCACACATTGCGCGCATATCTGGTGTATAATTCGTACATACTATGTATAATTATGATTTTTTTTTATTCAGCTGAGGTTTCTTAACGGATTTTGAAATTGTTTTGACATTTTTTATAAACAAATGTGTAGATGAACAGATTTTACATAATAAGAAATTAAATTGCAGTGTTTTTTAATTAAATTTTACGAAGACAAATAAGATCTTATCTTTTATTTTATTTTAAATTAAGCCTTGTCTTGCAGAATGTCACTTTACGAATTAGTTATTTTTAGAACTAATTATTGTATTTAAGATCAGAGAAATTAAGATAATATTACTAAATTAATTTTTGCTAGTAGCAAACTGACTTCAGTTTCTTCAGAAAAAAAAAGAAAGAATAGTGTTACATAAATTTATCTATTCTTTGAATAATAACACGCATTCTACACATATACTTATGTAATACAATGTTTTATTTAATGGAAAATTATATTCTCAGAACGGGGACTACCGGAAGCGAATATTCTTTACCAGAGAGACGTGTGGGCTCTCTACAATATAAGAAGCGCATAAGTCATCAAACATCTACGCTTTCGGAAGATATTAAGCATCAATACAATAGTAGCAACGAAAGCATTGGCTCCATACACTCGAAAGCACAATCGTTAAAACCAAAGACAAAGGCAGTGAACAGTGTGCAAACTGTTTCTACAAATAGTAGCATAATACCGGAGATTACGAAGGAATTGCGTTTGATGCAACGACCTGTGAACGGCTGTAAATTTGGGGATGATAGAATGGTTTTGGTATCGAACCAACATGTGCCATTTGTAATATTTTCTGCTATTCCATACAATAAAGGACAACGTTCCAGTTGGTAAGGCTCACATGGATATCTATGAAAATATTTAACTTGTATATATTAAAAATTATTCTCTAATATATATGTATTTTTTTTTTTTAATTTTTATCTTCTGCTATTATCTATCTTTTTTAGTTGTAGATGTTTAGTTTATACTAAACTAAACTAAATTTTAAGTTAAAATTTTAATTATGAGAAGATTTGGAAAAAAAGTTACAACTTGCTTTAAAATTTTCGACATTAAATATGTTTAAATTCACATATCTTATGAAATATTAATAATGTTAAAGGAAAATATAATAAAATCCAAAAATATTAAAATATTTTTAAATTTATTGTTATCACTTTTATTTTTTAACTCAGCTTATTATTGTTTTGTTGCCTGTAGATTGTTTATACTTTGATTACAGTTTCTATGAATATATTTGATACTACTTTTGGATAGTGTCTGATATAATAGTTTTAATAAAATTACATTATGATATTATGATGATTCACAGGTCAGAATTACGTAAAGATACATGTCGAAGGAAAAATGTGTCATCTCAAAGACCATTATCAGCAATTAATGACAGTATTGATCCATTTAGGTTGCTGGGAATAGAGCATGCTAAGGATGGCCAAGTATTAGAGATAATTATTTTATCCCTCTGATTCTAACATCAGAAAATTAATCTAATGCTCAATTATTTATTATTGATTAATTTTGTAGGAAATATCTTACGGGCAACTACTTGTACCATCTCGGCAATTCCTAAAGGATAAAAAATTGAATCTAATTGAGAACGAACCTATGGAACTTACGCATTTTATACCTAATAAACATCATGTGGTACAAAGGTATAGCAATAAATATGTTTATTAGTAGAATAACTTATTTCTCCTTTATATGTTTAATTTGATATCACAGTTAATATAACTGAGTGTACTGTGTATATACACGCATATGCACACACATACACGCACACAAACGATATATGTTTATTCTTTTTTTTTATATATTGTTTTCATTCGTGTATCCTATACATCAAGCTTTTAGCTAAGGTTTAGAGTTAAAAGAAAATCATGAAACAAATCGACCTTTTAACTTTCTTCAATATATGAGATGCTTAGCTGTTACTCCCTTAAAATTGAAGAGTATAATTATATTCCTCCAAATATTTATAAATAGAAGCAAACACTCTGGAATTTTACTATTTATTAAAGAAATTCTCATCTTAGCAGTCATTTAGTAGTTTGTAGTTTCATAATTCGTAGCTGCAGTACTGTCTAGACATCTTTTAATCTCTTTCAGTATCATAGGTAATGCATAGATTCATATATCATATATTTGTTTTTGTAACAAAACATCAACCATCTTTTTGCAGGACAAAAACAATTACTTGGAATGTGGATCACAAAAAATGGTAAAAATTATTGTACAATATATGTGTAATGAAATAGAGAAATGTTAGATAGATTTAAATGTACGGCGTACAGATACAAAAGTCTACAACAAGTATATTTCTTAAAATTTTATTATAATTCTGGAAAAGATGTGTTGTAAAAATCAATCATTAGATTATTCATAATCATTTTATAATCTGTACATGGTAATGATGATGATTACATTTTATAAGTAAGAGATATAATAAATATTTATTTTACTAATACATATAAAAATTTACAGATATTATAATTCTACTTAATAGAATATAAAATTTTTTTATATTCTAAAGTTTATTATACTAAAGTTTATAGTAAATAAGTTATATTTAAAAAATATTTTATTCACATTGTGATCATGATTAATACATATGTATATATGTCGATCATATACAAAAATTACATACATACATCTTTTTATATTATTCACTAAAATGTCTAATAAATGTGCACACATCGCAGAATAGTTTCACATTACATTTTTGTTATATATATGAAGAAAAAATACTTGTGCTACTTATAAGCATTTTAAAATTATGTAAATGTAGCATGTGTTTATATGTATTCATTGTATATTTGTTACATCTGTAAATAGCATTCCAGAAGTCTCTTATACATTTTCTAAAATAATAATTTTTTTTCATGAATTTAAAATTAATTTTTCTTAGTGAAAATTGATTAGCAGACTGATTATTATAATAATTTTTAAATTTTATACATTTATAATTTAGTATCAAAATAAAATTTTAACGTAAATATTTTTATTACAATATTCTCTTACTTGTGATTAAAAATTAATAATCTCTCAATTTTAGATTATTCTTAATACTTTTCTTTAAATTCTAATATTCGTTAATGAGAGAAATATAACAATTCTGGAGCACATTGCATATTGCATGTCAAAAAATAAAATAATTTATATAATACATTTATAATATATATATTTTTTAATTGTAGGTGTCTTTCCTATGATACAGCTACAAATCGTGCTCATTATATAACTTCCGAGTCTCCACCATTGTCTTTTAGTGGCGATTCCAAAGGTGAGTACAAAAAACATAATTTAAATATCTTATCAAATTGTACAAGATTAATATTACGTATAATTATTTTACTGCGTGTTATTACAGTCTATGAATGGGATGAACAATCTGCCCAATATAATCCAAACTTATTGGATGATCCAGAACTTATTGCTGGAAAACATAGAACGTTACTAACCTTTACATCATATATGGTATATATCTTAATTCTTATTGTTTTAATTAATGATTGATGAAAAATTTTGATTAATGCAATTCAATATTTTATGTATATAGGCATCTGTTATTGATTATGTAAGACCTTCCGATTTGAAGAAAGAATTAAATGATAAATTTAAAGTGAAATTTCCACATATTCAACTCACTCTCAGTAAGCTTCGCAGGTATGTCCAGTTTATATATAATTTATATTCTCTTAATTGTGCTATTACATATATATTTTTACAAGTTCTTCTTTCAGCTTAAAACGAGAAATGAGAAAAATAGCTAAATTAGAATATGGTATTGATTTACTCACTGTTGCAATGGCCTACGTATATTTTGAGAAACTTATTCTTCGAAATATCGTGACGAAGCAGACACGGAAGTTATGTGCTGGTGCTTGCTTACTTCTCGCAGCAAAATTCAACGACGTGAAAGGCGATATTCTTAAATCCCTCATCGAGGTATCTTTATCGTGTATTATGTAATAATAAAGTTTTTACACCAATAATTACCATTACTATTATTTACAGAGAATTGAGGGTGTATTCCGATTAAATCGCAAGGACTTAATTACGTCTGAGTTTGCCGTGTTGGTAGCTTTAGAATTTGGTTTGCATTTGCCAACATGGGAAATATTTCCTCATTATCAGCGATTGATTTATGAATCTTGACATCCTTTCGTATCATTCTTTTCACGCAATTTCAAAACTTCCTTATGAGAAAATCTCGGAGCGGTAAAGCATATCTGTAATAAATAATCATAATGTCTGAAAGCTGTATAAATAATCTTCGAAGCAGTACATTTATGTATGACATACTTTTTTTTTTCGTCACTTTGAATTAATTCAGTTATACATATATGATTTAATGGAACGGACTATATAAGAAATAATTATGATTGAAAGAATAAAATGGGAATATAGGTTTTTTTTCTATTATAATTTGTTTTGCAAGTTACCAATGTAGTAGTTGCTGCACGCTGTGAATATTTTATTATTTGAATAATCTTATCTATCTGTTCGAATATCGGTAAATGAATGATGTTAAAACTAAATTACGTTTAATATATATACTATCACATTATTAAAATATTTGTTTTATAAGATGTAGATATTAAAGTTATGGAAGTGAGAAATTTGTGAAATATAATTCGAATTGTCTTATGAGAGATATACCAGCGGTTTTGTGATATGCAATTCTTTCTAGATAAATGCATACGATAGTTTTAAAATAAGCTTGTTTTACTGATTACACTTTTTTATATATTTCACTGTTTCTGTGTTAAAATATATAGCTCTAATCAGTTTAATAATAAATAATTTAATAATAAAAATAATATATAGCAAGAGATTACAACGAGCTAAATGACCCTCTTGTTTAAAGTAAAAAGAACATCAGATTAAAGTGTTTGGATTGAAGAAAAATATCAAACAGTATTTTCTTTTTTTCTAAAACACAATTTTTATCTAAAAATTATTTTTTAACTGCAAGAGTTATTTAGTTGACCTTTAAGTATGTCATTCTTTCACTTTTTCCGATGGTATACATTTCACAAAACTGCTGTTCTTATTTTAATTGTATAGATTTTCTTTTTTTTTTGTAAAAAAATACTTTCTGAAAATATCTTAATATAAAATTGCTGCAATGTGCGTACGAAATAATCAATAGAAACTTGGTATTTCTTGGTATTTACAAATATAATAAAACAGAAAATATGTCAACGTGACGCTACAAATGCTTCGAAGCATTCCTTTTCTCTTTTTTTTTCAATGAAGAAAGAAGGAGAAGATGAACGCTCCAAAGCATTTGTAGCGTTACGTTGACCGTAGCCAATATGAAAATACTTAAGAGAGCATTTCCTACAACTCAACACGATTAAAGCTTAAAATAGATGTACTTATATGGCAGCAAACAATCAGATAAAAAATAATATTTCGCAATAGTTATCTGTATTCTTTGAACTAATAATGTCATATTAATGCTACAGTAGAAATATCCATTTATATAACAACGATTATATTTATAATACAAAGTTAAATTATATGGCATGCATGGAAAAAAGGTCTTCATAAATATTTACTCAAAGTTATTATAAATATCATGTGAATTTGATACATTAAATTTCTTCAATTTTTTAGTTTTTTATGATTTACTTTAATACCAAAAACACATATGTTTTATGCATCAGTAAGAGTGTTCTGATAAAAGTTATATTTCAAGTTTATAATTCACACTAATAATATATTTTTACAATATCCATAGTGATCAAGATTATATTATAAGTGTTATTAGAATATGACTATGTCTTGTTTTGAAATCCTGTTTGTTTTGTAATATAGAAATAAGTTGTTTTTAATTATATATGTATATATAAAATTAGGTATATATTTTATCACAAAGTAACACGTAACCAACATTTTATTTTTCATTAATGTCGATTTTCGTGTTTTCTTCATTTTAATTATTGATATATTCTGATCGTTGTAAATAACACAGCAATTGAATGTAATAAAAATAACCTCTTGTAGCATTATAAAAAAATAAGCGATATTCTATATTATATACATATATTTTATCACTTAATTTTATTTAAGCTCAGCCATATTCTTTTTAGATAATGCTAATATATTGCGGATATTTTTCAAATTAAACATGTA